TCCTCGTATGACTTGTGCTCCAGACCCCTCACCAGCTTGGTTGCTCTCCTCTGGACATGCTCCAGCAATGCAACATCTTTCTTGTAGTGAGGGGCCCAAAACTGAACACAGTATTCGAGGTGCGGCCTCACCAGCACCGAGTACAGGGGCACGATGACTTCCCTTGTCCTGCTGGTCACACTATTCCTGATACAGAACAGCCATAAAAATAAGCACTGGGATCTTTAAAATCTGAATTTTGGATTGCCTTGCTGGAGAGCCATCAGGAGCAACAAAACAGCTGACGGCAAACAGAGGGATGCACGGGCAAACATGCTTGGGAGGAGCGGTCCCAGCTGAAGTGCTCTCGCCCGCCTGGCAGACAGGCCAGGTGTGTCGCTTCCAGATGTGACCTGAGCCACTTGCTTCTTGTTCACAGTCGTTGAAGTGCTGTGCAGAGAAAGCCTGAGCCGCTACCGCAATTAGAGTAGATACATCATTTACTGGAAGAATTAAATGCACTGTAGTAGCAAACCTGCAGTTGGCACTCACAGGGTGCAATTGAAATCCTCTGGATTAGTAATTCTTTTGAGATCTTTGTAATCATTGGTAATAGGTAGCGAAATAAATCCACATTTATATCCTACAGACTGCAGCTGTGCTTCTGTTAAAGTAGTATTAAGTGATGGGTTTTAAATCCTTCTGCCAGCTCGAGCTGTAAGCACCGCAACTCCTGTGCAGGGGATAACTCATCCTGGGTGATACATGTTCCTGAGCACGAAAGTGCTGGTTAATGAATAATGAAAGCACCAAGGCAGAATCGCACCTCGGGGCCTTGCTCCTGCAGGAAGCTCTCTGGGGAGAGGTCCCCGTGCAGCTTGCCGTGCGACAGCAGCCTCAGCTACCCGACTGCAGCTAAGACGGGATGTGGCTGTGGATAACTGTGATAGGAAATAATACAAAATATTCATGTAAAGCTTCACCCAGATGGACAAAGTGCTGAATCTCGTCTTGTTCAGTCGAGTGAGGGGTTCATCTGGCCAACTCCGGCATTGTTCCTTCAGGTAGCAGGAGTGCACGCTCGTGCCCTGACGTACTGCACAGGCTCCCAGTTAACTAAACAAATACGCCATTAAAAGCTGAGCCAACCTTGAGGGGGACATATGGGTTTAAAATGCAGCAGGAAGAGATTTACGGACTTATTTTCCAAGCCTAGACAGGAATTGAAGAGGCCTCAGACAGTTCAACATTTACCAGTCCTGATAAGGGAAACCACTGGGACAAGACAGGAGGGGTGATGGGTGCTAGACTGGCACTCAGCTTTGCTGTGGAGCCCCAGCCGTGGAGCAGGGACCCAGAGTGACAATCACTCGAGGAACAAAAAGAAGCTTTGCAAACTCGGCATGCTTTAAGATAAGTACAGAGCTGATAAAGTAAAGCACAGAGAGATTAAAAAACTCAAGAGAACGATATTAGTGGCAGACTGAAAAGAAGAGCCCAGGAGTCCCAGCTCTCCCTTCCTTCAGCTAGGCTTCAGCTCAATCTGCCCAAAATTCGTGACCTTAGAGATGGCTTCTTGATGGCATAAAAAAAAAAAAAAAATCATTGACTAAACCTACAGGAGAATAATTTACTTAATACAGCCTGGGAGGAAAAGGAAATAAAGCAGAGCTGGCAGAAGCGCCTTTAGCTGGTCCTATTCCATATGTGTTACGTTTGCTTTGTTTTCATTTAGGAATCTACAAAGGACATTGCTTCCGAATCAACCACTTTCCTGAAGACAACGACTATGACCATGACAGCTCAGAATACCTTCTCCGTAAGTAAAGTTATACCTAATACACAGGATTAACATGGCCAGAGAGACTTCCCTGGGTTTCTCTTCTCTAGAGTGCAACCCAAGTCTTATTCATTGCAAGAGACTGGCCCAAACTGGGTGGCACAGAGCAGTGGTGACACATGTCCAGTTGACATGACCATGACCCTCGGGGACCCCCATTGCATGGGTTCCCTTCAGCCAGGGGAACGCTCAAGATTGTGATGCCCATTCTCTAAACATTATATGGAAAATTTTCAAATGCAAACTACAGCTATGACTCCCAGATTGGCGAGGATATTTTACAGAGGGAGTATTTATTTAATTACTGTATCAAAAGGGGTTTGAGGAGTGGGTTTCAGCCCACTAGGAAGCTTTTCCTAATGCTGAAACCCGACCCTTATGCAAGCCTCATCCTTCGCAGCTGCTGAGCCACCTCCCCCTGCAGTGAAATTACTGCACTGTAGGAAGGAAGCTGAAATTTCTGCAGCTAACGGGAAAATCTCAGCATGAGCATGGGCTGTGGCTTCCCCGCATGGACAGCCAGCCAGCGCTGCTCCGTGCTGCTGTGTAATCCCCCCCCGAAGTAATTTCATCCACCAACCTGGTGCTTGAAATAAGGGCAATCATTTCATCTCCTCCAGACGACCATTCGCTCAGGTGATAGGAAATCTTGGAACCCGAGTGTGAAACTTGACGAATCCTGCAAGGATTGAATTAGATTTCCCCTTCTCCAGAGGACGCCTTGCCTAGCTGTTCCTTTTGAACAAAAGAGCTGGCCAGCCAGGCTGAAAGCAATGCCCTTTGCTGGAGAACGGAACCACGGTTCACAAGGTGTTGGGAAAGCTTCAGGGAGCAATGAGTGATGCTGCTGGCTGATACACCCAGCAAAGCAAACCGCTCCTCAATTACCCTGCTATTAATTACCTGAAACACCACTTAAAAGTACGCTTTACCAGAAAACCCAGATTTTTTTTCATCTTTACTCTCGTCAATTTAGATCAGTCACAGCGCTGAGGTGACATGATTTCAGAGCTCAGGCAAAGGCAGAGTGTGCGCACAGCTGCATTTATCTTTCATACAAAGCCTTGGAACCAACGTTAAATTGATGCCAAGTCAGCTTTAGGAAAGAAACATCATTAGTAAAAGGACTGTAAAGGAAGAGGAATTAAGTAGCGTGTTGATACAAGTGTTTTATACTTTCTTTATTTGGAGAAAAGGGAGAACTGGGAAAAACAGTCTGCAGCTCCGCAGTAAGACATGGCTTGGCAAGTTGTTTCTAAGTGTACTTGTGACGGGTGTTCCTAAAAGCTGTTTAAGCTGTTTTCCAAAGTGACTAAGTACAGACCTTAAAAACAAGTTGCTCCAATCCTTTATGTCTTCTGCAAAACCAAGCTTCAGCTGCTCCCCACGTGGAGGAGAGCTCATCCTCGCGTAGCCCGTGCCGTAACAGGTCTCTCTGCTTTAACTTCTGTAAGAAAAACTGCAGCTCCACTTAAAATGCGTATGGTTGATTTAGAGATTACTGAAAGGTTATATATCTAAATCCAGCACGGATGAGCTCATACGTATATGTAATAGGAACCAATTCATTGTCTAACTAGACACAGACAAGAGGATATTTGTGTCCTGATTCAAAGGAGACGTGAGACCTTCCGTCCCGCTTTTGCCCTCTGTGCAACACCTTTGCAATCTGCCGTCTCCGTATCATTCACCGTGCTTTTTAGCCATTTCTTGGCCCAAGGCTCTTGGAGGGCCACGCTAAGGCAAAGGCGTCTTCTTTTTCCTGTCATGCTTGGGCAAAGGCACCAATGCTGTGTGCATCTCATGCTCCCGAAAGAGCAACATGAGGGGTCTCAGCCTGCTCCAGAGTTACCAATCCAGTATAGGCTTCGGATAAATGTAAACGTTGTGGTGCTGGCAGAATTGGGCCCTGGTTCAAAACCCTACTGAAATCAGTCAAAAAATGACTGATTTTAGGGGACTTTGGTCCAGAGTGTGGGTAGGAGCAGGAGTTTGGATTTTGCCCTTCAGCACTCAGGCTGCTCCTTGCAAAACCAAGTGAATGACAGCCACGGTGACAACTAACACATGCAAAGCAGCTCAAACAAGACCCCTCCTAATGAACCTTCCCTGTGACAACACACTCCAGTCTGTGTGTCTGAAAAAAATCCCCTTCACAGATCTGTGCAGAGCCCCAGCAAGTGCCAGAGGCATCACTGCCATGCACAGAAAGCCCGTGCAGGGGCCAGGGCTGCCGCCCACATCGCCCAACCGCACACATGTGTGCCAGCTTCCCTCCTCTCCTGCGGTCCTGCAGGCACGCAGAAACCAGGCGGCTCCCATCCAGCATCACACGAAGCGCATGCACCTCTCCCGTTGGAGAAGAAGGGATTTCAGCCATACTCATCCTCGCTGCGCGCCTGAGGGTGTCAGGGCTCTGCTGCAGTGCAAAAGTGCAGCCACGAGGAGGGGTCCTGGAGACCCCCCTTTCGGGGGCATGTCTGTACTTCCATGCACTTTTTCCCCGCACACTATAGCGTTGCCTTTTTTAAAGCCATTTGCTTGGCTTCTGCTTTTTGGAGGAGACTAAAAGCAGGAGAGTGCCAGGGCTTGCAGCCCCGTGGGGAGGAGCAGCCCGGCACGCTGCGGTGCTTCACCGAAGGAGGTGTCACAGCGCATAGCGGTGCAGCACGGCCAATGCGAAGAGACAGGACGGTAGACAAGGAAAAAAAAAAAAGCAGGGGAGAAAGCAAAAACCAGATTGCCTTAATGTTTTTTGATGTGCTGTCATTTTATTGCCGGTATTGGGAGACATATGTAAATTCTATGTGGTACCTATGAGCTTCCTTTTGAATTTCAGAGCTAAAAGTACATATTGTAGGAAAAAATACAATGTAGGGTTTTACGGGAAGAGAACACCGTGTGGTTTGTTTCTCGTCACATTAATTACCTACTATAGAAATCCTATCTCTGGAGATTATTGGTACAGGTAGAACAACCCACCCCCTGTATTTGTCCTGGCTGGCAAGTTCCTTCTGATGATATCACTGAGGCATTTCAGGGAAGTTCTTTGATTTAACTGAAATCATTTTAAACAAGATGAGCATAAAATACAGAAAACAACAACCAGAAAGGGTGGGCCGCAGTAGATTTTAAGCCAAGGCTGCCTTTTGTCAGGACAGTAACAGCCAGCGATTGGAGGTGCCTTCATGTCCAGCAGCACAGAGCCTGACATTGAATATTTTCCTAATAATTTTCTAAAAACAGACCCAAAAGTCAAAGCCCCATTACCTCATACCAGACACGGGGGGATGCACTCAGGACAGAATGGGCTCTCAGCACTCAACAGGCTTTGATTAGAGACCTTACACCCTCGTTACTCAGATTCACCCCTTATTGCAAGACGCTGTCGGAATAGCGATGCATCTGACTGAATTGGGTTTAGATCCAGTTAGGAAATGCCCCGTCTGTGAAGGACACATGCGGCGACGTTTGCCAGTTTTGGTAGGAGATGAACTTTTCCCGCTCTTGCAGATTGATACAGGCAGAAGCTTCCCAGGCAGGGACTGTCTTTTTTGTTTTACGCTTGCACCATCCTAATGAGGGCTGGGCCCGTAGCTGGGGCTCTCGGGGGCTTTGCAGCGCACACAAAAGCAATGCCGTTATTAAATGCCCAGCCCTGTCCCTCTTGCAGCCAGTGGGAGTTTTGCCACCGGTTACCAGGGGAATCATTAGGAAGCAATTCGCGAAATTGGGAACGCCATGGCCATCAAAAGTGAAATGAGAAAGCATCATCTGTAACATCTGGCCGTTTCCGCTCAGGCAACGGGCACCGCTCGCTGTGCGTGTCAGCCAGGAAGACAGCACCCGGGAGAGACCGCGTGGCTAATGGCACCGCATCGGCAATTGGCCCAGATGGTGGTTTTCTCCTCTCCATGCCCTCAGCCTGGGGGTCCCTGTGTCCTCCCCGTGTGCTGCGGGGTTTCCACCCCCCTCTGACAGCAGTCTCTGACCCCCACCCACTTTGGGCATCCCCATGCCCCGGCGCCTGCCCACCCTGCTGGGACTCCCTTCCACACCTGTGCCGGAGCATGGCCCCCAGCTTTGGGGGAATCCTGTTTTCTACAGCAGTATTCAGCACCTTATCTCCCCTTCTTAAAAAAATAAATCCTCTCTCTGTAACAACATAACTTGCAGGAACGCCTACCAGATTTTACCCCTCTGGTTTTTACAATACAGACTTCCTCTTCTTGTGCCTGTTTATTTTTTCTCAGCCCTTTTTTCGTTCCCTCCCTTCCACTTCCCTTTCAATTGCTGCTTGGTCTTGTAGTGACCCAACTTTGAAAGCTGGCTTAAAGTGGTGTTTTAATTCTTTTCAGGGATTTTATAGCCTGTGCTGTTGAATAGACTGAAGCATACAGAATTCTAAATGACTCAACTTAGCTGTCAGGAGTCTAAACACAAACATCTGAGACACACTTGTTAAAATTTCTTCCTTAGAAATCTGAAAGGTTTCGATGTCCTTAATATTCAACAAAAGAAAAAGGGGTTATTAGCTGTGCTCGCTGGCAGCACGAACGCTGCAGACTTCAAGAGCTGCAATTTGCTCACCTTGCGCATGTACCAAGGACCAGATCCGTCTGCTCAAGCCATCCTCAAGCGCTGTAGGGTTCATAGCCAGCTCATGAATTTTTCACTGCTGCGCCCCGTGTGATGTCAGGTCTTACTGTCACTTACCTCATGCTTTGCCAGAAACATTCGGTATGTGGTGGCATCAGTTAATGGCAATAACACTGGACTTCCTAGGAGAAAGCTCAAAAGATGTAAGCTACTCGGTTGAGATGTCTGTGCCACACTGGCCACTTACCCATGGCCTCACCTCCCAAAAACATGCCCAAAAATGCAGAATCAGTGACAATTCCAACGAAAGCCAGAGGGGGTTGAGACTTTGTAATCTCCACACTTGCACCCGAGGAGGCATCTGAAATGATTACTGTCTGTCTTGGTTTTCTACCTACCTCCCCTCCAGGCATTGTCCGTGCCTCCAGCGTGTTCCCCATCCTAAGCACAATATTGCTGCTGCTCGGAGGACTGTGTGTTGGAGCAGGAAGGATTTACAACAGCAAAAACAACATAATTCTCAGCGCTGGGATTCTCTTTGTTGCAGCAGGTACGTTCTCCTTAAATTGAGTCCTTAAGAAGTGCTGCCTTTTTAAACTGTGGAAAAGCTTGTCGGCAGTTCCCTCCCCGTCCCCCTTTCCTGGATCAAGGGCACTAGCAATGTCACACTAGGCAAATTTCTTAAGACAAAAATGTGGTTTTGAAGCTCTGCAATAAGTATGTTCCAGAAAAGCGTTTAGTTTTCCTGAAAAAGGAAGCTAAACTCAGTAACAAGCAGGTTTCATGCTATTTAAAATGTATTAAATGTTAGATGAATCGGGTGTCTCTTCCATCCAGGGCCTTTTTCTTTTCCTTTACATGATGGCAGAAAAAATTCACCTAAGATAGGGGAGCCCATTTTTCATACTAAGAGCATCTGAGAGAGTCAGCCACATTGTTAATGGCTTTCCCTGAAGCTCGGGTTAAGCGTGCTGCAGTTAGATGAAAATTCAGCAAGGTGGAAGAGAACTTATCTTGATCAAGGTGAACAGCCATAGCCCTGAGCTCAAAACGTATTTTTATTATTATTCTGAATGTTAGAATCCCACTAACATTATTAGTGAGCTCCCATATGCTGCTTCTTTCCCAGCGTGGCAACGAAGAGATAGGA